CAAAACTATTTTATCCTGAAATCGGGTTTGGCCGGTAACATATATATACACAACAAAAAAAAAAAATACGGTGGAATTGAGAATCTCCTTCTTTCTTTGAAGTCGGTTAAAAATAACTGTTGATTTAGTAGATTTTTTAACACAGTTAAAGTGTCGATATTAACAAGACTAAAAACATCAGTCTCGAGGCAAGAAAATGCCAAAAAATGCAAAAAAAAATTTCGAAATCGTAATTCCCAGAATGAAAGTCCTAGTTGCTATACATCATCTACATGGTCCATACACTTTTAACCTTCTCCACAATATTATTAAAATATACCCAAAATGATCTTTTATGAAACACTTTTTAAAATTACAAACATTTAAAATGCCTCTGAGGGGTCTGCTGGATCGCTTTGGAATGTCAGTTGAATATTGATTGTATTTGTTCGCCCATGACTTCACTCCTATAAAGATTCACTATTCACTGAAGTCACAACTATGTAAAGAACCAAATGAACTCAAGGCCGACGGAAACCGCATTTTTTATCCATTACAATATTTACGTTGTTTAAATTTGGTTTATTGTATATCAATGTTTGCGGTCAGGAAGTTGACTAAATGTTATAAAGTATCTATAGTATTTTTAACAAACTAAATAAAATACTGTACAACCCTCCGCGAGGAATCCGCGATATATATTTAATATAGTAATGAAAAGAAGAAAAACAATTGTGATTAAACAAAATAAAAAAACTGCAAAGGAATAAAGAAGTATTTAACAAAATGAAATTGTACATCGTTGACACCTCAAAAACATTTTCTTGATGATTGTATCTCCGTATCCACCAAAAATAAACTTGTATGTACAGGGTCAGGAGCACGTCAAGCTTGACACTTAAGATTTAAATCCAACTCTATACCGCTTACGATAAGAACGGTCCAAAGTACAAAGTGTCAAGCTTGATGTGCTCTTGGCAGTACCAGGGTATCTGGTGGGAATAAAATATTAATATTTATTCCTGATGGGGATCCGATGGATATAGAAAATAATATAAAATAAAACTGATCGCCCAGGGGATCGGCTTTAGTTAATCAGAAGGAAATAACCCATTCACAGGGCCCAGAGTTTCCTAATTTTAAATCATCTCAGGTGTGTGTCGACAGTGTCAAGGGCAGGGTTTAATACGTTTGGTATTCTGTTAAACGGTGAGTGTAGTGGGTAGCCATTGAGCACAGAGGTGCCGGGTTCGATTCGATTTCTCGTGAGGTGTAATTTGTGGTTGTGTTAGTGTGTGGGCGGGCCATCTGGCACGATCGGAAGACGACAGATGAACTCTCAGAACAACCACTTGGAAAGGCCCAAATGGAAAAAGAAGAGGCAGACCCAGTGGCGGATTTGCAGTCTTCACTGCCCTAGGCCCCAGGCCATGTAGTCAGTACCAGCCGCCCCTTTCTCAGCACTCATATACCTACCGGTAGACATATCTATATTTTATAAATAAAAGGTACGAAAGTGATTTAGGAAGATTATTGTTGTGCGATGCGGTGCAGTGCGGCCCGCAATAATCTGCGTGAGCCTTTAAAATATTTAATGAGTTATTACTTGTCATAATCAGTGAGTTTTTGTCACGATTGGCCGCCCTAGGGCCGGGCCTACTGGGCCTTAGAGCAAATCCGCCACTGAGTAGACCAATAGAACGTTGGCAAGACGAAATTGAGAACTGCCGTGAAGCTGCGTAAATCGTGGTTGATTAAAGCAAAAAACCGCTAAACTTGGAAAGTACTGAAGGCGGCCTATACCTGTCGAGGGGTCCGCAATTAATTATAGTAAGTACTTTAGCAATTATTAAGAACCATATTATTTGTGTAATTAAGGAATAATAAAGGTTCTTTTATTTTATTTATTATTTAAGTGTGTGTCCAATGTCTATGGCACCCGTGATATAGGGTTCACAAGTGTGGGGCTGAGTGTCTGCGTTCTAATAATTAATTCGAGCATTTGTTACGGGCAGCAGTGAGACTGGACTTTTTCAGAATGTCATCACTACGCGTCTGACGTTCTAAAGGAACAATAAACGTGTGACGCAACTCCACTCATGCCGTTCTTCCATGAGCAATGCGACGTATTTGTTTAATTTGCAGTCTAAATTGCTGATTAAACAAAATAAAAAGGAAGATATGTGTAGTAATTTTCATGGTAATTTTTAGTAAGTAAAACATCGATCGTTAGTAATTGAATGACTGAATGCCAACGCTGCCATTCCATTGACACTATTGAGACTCAACTAACTAAATATTAAGACAACATTACATACATTCATTGACTTACAAATAAATGGACGACAGGTCTAATACAAAAACCACGAAAAAAATGTCCCAAGTCAACCTATTTAAACGTAGTGACATGTAAAGGAATATGAAAAAGCTAAAACGTTGAATTTAAATTGTAATGTCATCGCAGTACTGTCTAATTTTGCTTGCTTCGCTGTCAGTCGAACAAACAAAGACTAAAGCGTGAATGACGCTCTGTGTACGATTTTAACGCCCTATAAGTTCGGACACTTTTTAGCGCGGACCCGACGTCCATATAATTGTAAGTCAATGCATACGTTGCTCTGAGCCCAAAGTAAGTAACTAAAGCGTTTGTATTATGGAAACCGGAAACAACGACTGTACCACAAACACCCAGAGACAATATAGAAAAGTTGTTTCTTCTACATTGACCAGGCCTGGGATTGAGCACGGATCCTCAGAGATGGGAACACCATGAAAACCGATGTGCAAGACACAGACGTCGTCAACTGCCACTACACAACTACATTTTAGCAAAATAACAAATATTATCATAAATGCCATGTTATCTCAGTATAGTCTAATTGGAAATACATCACCAGCTTTTTACGTCCTGGGCGAAATGTAAAACAAAAAATTATACCGTTGAGTCGCTTATGCCTATTTAGTCGCATATTGTATATAGACGAAGTCTGTAAGTTTGTCAAGCAGTATATACATCTAAGCAAAAACGCCATAGAAATAAACCCACGCGCGTAAAGACTCCCAAGTAGAGTTGTTGTAGGATATGAACCCAAAACTGCATTGTACTTAAACATTTCCTACAGCACATGCATGAAAATTTATAATAAAATTTTGGTGAATATAAGTGAAATAAAAAACTGACATGTAGGTACAATAACTTTTTTGTTACTTGCTACCAGGCGCACGACTCATTTGGTATGTCACGCGGGCCTCGCGTAATTAAACACAAGTCTCGGACCACATGGATTTTATTGTAGAAATAAAGAAAGAGTACAAGAATGGAAAGGAACAGGTAAAGGCGTAAAGGCCCAAAAGGGCCTGTAATTTCTAGAAATACTATGCTTTACAAGCAGTTGGGTTACATGATTCAACTGGTCAGAATTTTATGTGAAGTCGAGCACGTGAGCTCACTTCCGAAATTTAATAGAGAGTGGCGATTGAAAGAAGAAAAGTAAGTGACGGAGAAGAAAAGGAATTTAAGAACGATTCAAAATTTCAAAGTAGGTGGTTAAGAACTAGAGTACAGGGTGATAAAGGTTGGGGTAGAAAGAGGCGCATCGTCACATGTATCATTAAAAAAAAACACTCATTAAATCAATAAAACTTCGACAAATATATTTTATTTTAATATCCCTATAAACCTAAGAAGTATTCAAAGTTACCCAATTTGAAATTTTAAAATACTAAATAATAAAATCCCAACAATTTCTATATACAATATCCACATCTCAAACGATTAAAAACCGTGTTCCATAGAACATAGAGCTTAATTACACGGATTAGTGAATGACATCAGAGATGATAAAATCTAATAAAACATTCTGTCGTTTCATTCAGTTGTAATTTGAATTTTATTAATGATCAAGCTCAATTTTATTGGTTTTTCTTATATCGTTTATGTTACATCCACTTTAAGTTAAGAGTCGCTGATGTAAGTTGCTTGTGGTTAATGACAGGTCTACTTTAAATTGAGTTGGTTCTCTTTGGATAATAAACCAGCTAATCTTGAACTCGCACGTTTTAGTTATATATTTAGGCCCATTTGATTCATGAGCACCCATTGTTTTTTCAGCTGCCATGGAAAAGTAAAACTTTAAAGTATTTTCGACTTTACATCTATAGAAACTAGTGTGATATAGGTTTGAAGGCATAAGTGGCATCACTTTACTATTCTTCACGAATTTTAGTTCAGAAATAACTTCGAGGCTTGTTTTTGTAAAGAAACGTGACTGGTGAAAATTCCTGTGGATTATGATTTTTTTTTAATCTGATTTTATTTTATTTACTTTAACAATATCAACTTATGTATCAGGGTGACAGGCGCAGTGATGGTACGAAATAATAGCCTGCGATTACAGCCTGTATACGTAATATATATTTTTTTAAAGTTTTAACTCATTTATTTCAGTAGGCAAAATGTTCTACCATACAGCTTCTTCATATATTATAGTATTTTTACGTTGTTTCGAAGCGACAAGCGTATTTTCTTACTTCATTTCATATATTTAGAGAGTTGATGACGTAATAATATTGTGACGTAGTTACAATATTGGCAGAAAAATGTTTGCGTAAGATTCATTCAGAAATTCATGTTCTGTGTTATGTAATAATTATTTCTGTCAAAAATGCAACACACGTCCATTAGTGTTGTTTGATGAGACGATAAGTTGTTAAAACCAGTTTAAGTGAACCTACTAAAAACTCACGATTGTTCAAGGTCTTTTTAACCGACTTCAAAAAAGGAGAAGGCTCTTAATTTGACTGTATTTTTTTGTGATCACTCCCACATTTATGAACCGATTTCGCTGATTATTTTTTTTGTTGAAAAGGGGATACCTTCTATTCAAATTTCAATCGACTTCAATAAAACTTGGCACTTAGATGTAATTACAATGAAAGAAATAGTTATTATTGACTGCCTCCGTGGCCATCGGTTACCATGCCAGACTGCCACGCAGAGGTCCCAGGTTCGATTCGCGCGCTGAAGAAATATTTGTATGGCCTACATTTGTGTAATTTGTGGTTGTCTATGAGTGTGTCCATGGCACCTACGACACAGGGTTTCCCTAGTTCGGGGCTATATTGAGTGTGTGCCTTATTTAATGGTGATCTGTAGGTGGAAACGGCAGACAGACGAGAGGAATTCCTCAACAGTGTGCAATTTTTATTCGAGCTTAGGTAGTATAGATTCTAAAGAGATCTAGATAATCAGCAACTTCAGGTGTTGATTTACTACCTACAAATATACTCCAATACACTCCTACCACATCCCATTTCTATTTAGTTTGCTATCGCTTTATAGAACCTATATTTCACATAGCCAAGTTTTCGATCATTTATTTACATAGTAAACTATCGATTTTCCCACGTTACGAAGCAACTTTTATGTCGTATACGGCCGATGCAAAGGCCATTGTCAATTCATTCGTTGCCCTTGACCGCTCCATATGTGTCAGACTATACCAATTATACCAAACACAATGAATCAGTTGCAATCGTAGCCATTATAAGGTTTTATAAAGATTCCTTATTTTCAAGACGTAGAGTCGAAATTGGTATAAATAGTATTTCAAGAGCTGAAAATGAATATAGTAAAGCTTGTTATTAACATTTTAAACGTAGTCTTTAATGCGTCGATTCGAAGTTTGATATTTGTATGGCAATACACAAGGATGTGCAGTTTTGGTCGTCCATCTGGCCATAAAACGGCCAAGGCTCTCTGGTGAATAACAAACGTGAATAATTTGAGTTTTTTTTAAATTGGAATAAACGTTCCGTTTTAAAAATATTTATACAATATACAAACATCATAAATATTTATGTTAATAAGCAGTTGACCCGATCAAAGATGGAACTTAATTTACTTGGTCTGTAGTTGGAACTAAGCAATGTGAACATATACTATGACGTATTTGAGTACAGTACTTGCGTTAAAGTTCTCCCACGTTGCAGTACCATTTTAAAACATCCGTTAAATATAGATAATAAAACTAATCGAAAAAAGAATTTGAATGAAACGGTAAACAAAAACACATCATGAAAATCAAAGAAACTGAAAGTTGTTTAAGAATATCGAATAGCAAGTTAGCCGCGAGTTTCGCTCACTAATTTTACGCGTGACGAAATGGAACGTGAAATTCAACTTTTCGAGGCAATTAGCAGACACATTTCGCGAGATCTGACGAATTTTAGCGCCAAATTTTTTTCTTGACTTTGGAATCTTGTGAATAACACCATGCATCTGGTTAAATATTTTGTCACAACACTTGTTGAGATGTTGCCAGTTTTGCTTCCGGAATCGATTGGCAGTTGACAAATATATTGCTAGATATCCCGAAATTAATTAACTCTGAAATATTTTTCAGACGTTCGCCAACACGTTGACACGGGCAATTTATTCACGTGACCTTGGAAACTTTCTTCCGTGTTCTTGAAAGAGGCTAAATATTAATTTCAAAAGAAAGTAATAATCGGTGACAAAGCTAAATACAAAAATACATAATAAACATGATATACGTTCAAAAGGCAAAAAGTATCATAAATCCACACCACACAACACAACACCCAACCTACCGTTTACTGAAAGAACGAATGTATTAAACATTTAAATACAAAAAAGACACCTGGAAACACCATTTATAAAATACATTAAATACATTTAAAGAATATTCTGAAACATATAAACCCTTGTTAAGCACAAATACATAAACGAAGCAACGTCCCAAAACCATTTGGCACCGAGAGAAATACACCAGCGAACAAACTACGTGAAAAATATGGAAATAAAACCTTAAACCATAAACCCTGTACGAAGAAAACCAAAATATAGCCATTATAGAAACCGAGTAAAATTAAAAAAGGTAAAAAGTCCACTTACTTGTCATAAGCTTCTACTAGCTCTTTCACAGATCCGTGTGTATCATCAGCCGCTTGCTTCGAGTGCGGCGTGAGTAGGGAAATGACGAATTCAGAGTGTTCCAGTAACTCGTCTTTGTTTTCTTCCAGTCCTGATACTTCGGTTTGGAGTTCCTAGACAATAGAAAAACGAATCATAACTACAGTTCACAACCCCAACAACAAAAACAAGTCAGCATTGACTTACAATTATATGGACGTCGGGTCCGCGCTAAAAAGTGTCCGAACTTATAGGGCGTTAAAATCGTATACAGAGCGTCATTCACGATTTAGTCTTCGTTTGTTCGACTGACAGCGAAGCAAGCAAAATTAGACAGTACTGCGATGACATTACAATTTAAATTCAACATTTTAGCTTTTTCATATTCCTTTACATGTCACTACGTTTAAATAAGTTGACTTGGGACATTTTTTTCGTGGTTTTTGTATTAGACCCGTCGTCCATTTATTTGTAAGTCAATGCATGTCAGTGACATTAGTAATGTCGCAGAAGAAAACTCGTTAAGTGTTCCCCGACGTATCCAATTTCCACCAATTTACTATCAAATCCAGTTTATTTCATTGTTTTATTTAAAGTCACCGTAAACACTATACAATTTTGTATTAATTTTGTGCTATTACTAAGTTATTCTTTTTTCTTGTTATATTACTTTCTATTCATGATCGTGAAATAAATTTAAAAAAGTTTGCATTACGCGTATGCGCCATGATGACCGAATAAATAGTTTTTAAATTAACCTGGATATACAGGGCGTCTTTTTAATGGTAAAGTCCAATATACCAGAAACCAAGCCTTCAAAAATGGAGAAATCGAACAACTATTTAAAGCTCTTTAAGTAAAGAAAAACAAGGTTTGATCGAAGTAACCGCAACCTTTAGTACACAATATCTACTGATAACATTTAATTTTAACATTTATATTGAATAAAATTACCAAATTACAACTATTTAAAACGTAACAAAAAACATAAAAAAGATTGAGGTGATGATACATTACGTTCTTTTATAATCAATTTTAAGACCAATGTTCGCCGAATTTCGATTCGACTGGGCCATTAATTTTACGTACCTGTAAAGCATGTCTAGTGTCAAGTGCGCGCCTTCTTGTGCTGGGACTAGCATCGAGCTGTCTCAGGCGATCGGAGGCAGCGGTGACGGCGGCGGCCAAACTACGCTGCACATCCAGGAGTTGGTTCCAGCGTTGCAGCTGGTGGTCTGCTGTCGCTGCGCGCTTTGCAAGACCTGGGGAGCAAAAATATTTTTTTAATTTTGATTCTTATAAGTATCTACGAAAGTCTATTTATAATAGAACTATACGTTTAATTCGTCAGCACAATTCGTCGTAATAATGTGACTTGGTCTGGAATTAGCGAAACGTGATCTACAACCCCCTATAAGCGATCTTTTTGTATATTAGTTAGTTTCAGTTTTATTCTTAAGCAAAATCAGTGTATTTGACATTTTTCAAAGAAAACAACTTTACGTGACAATCTCGAAAGTTATCAAAATGCAACTGTGACAGTTATGACAAGGAGGACAGCCTAAGACCTTAGCATTATGTATCTAAAGTTAAAGAAAACTTAATTTCAGGTAAGTAGTACTTCAAAGTAATCCGTTACAGTACATTGTGTATTAGTAGTGTTAGGGTGGTAAATGAAGAATTACGTGATGACTCTATTGGGCTTTCGGAGTTCAAGCAGGCTAACTTGACTGTAATGCCCCAAATAAAACCCTCGGGTCTTTTTTCTTCTCATGACAGCGATGGTCGTGTAAGTTAGCCTGCAATCATACTATTTACATGCAAGTGTGATGAAAATCATTGTATGTTTTATGCATAGAGTATACTCGATGGTTTCACGGGACGGTATGGGAATTACAAACCTCGACTCAGAAAGCTCTCAGTCTTCGACTTCTATGTCAGGGTTTCTTAACCTGTGGTCCATGGACCCCTAAGGTGTCCGTGTAATGAACGCCAGGGATCCTTGGCTATTATACGAGTATAAATAGATTAGTAAGAGGGGAAAGTTATGACTGTTTGTTATGTTCGTTCATGGGTCAAACTTTATTATCATTATGAGATTTTTGCCTGTAAATAACAACTATAACCGACGTCAAAAAATGGAGGAATTCTTAATTCGATTGTATTTTTTTTTCTGTCTTTACTCCGGCATTTGTGAACCGGTTGCGATGGTCCTTTTTTTGTTGGAAAGGGGGGTACCTCACTAGTGGTTCCAAATTTGTGGAAAATATTCCACTAATTAAGGGACGAATTCAGTTTATTGGATTTTACGGCCTTTTCGTTAACCGTTTTCAATAAAATTCGGCAAATTAGATATATATATAGATAGATAAACACTTAATTCACTAGTAGGACATAAATACAGATTGAATACAACAAGAAAAATAAAACATTTTTGCCATAGCAGTGAAATGGTGCTTAGTCTGCATATCCCTAAGTTCCCTAAGGCGCTGGTTTTCAGTCAGAACCTACGATAAGTACTAAATCTAGAAGTTATTTGTTATGAAAGATCTAATAAACGACTAGCAGGGAAATTGTTCATTAAAATAATAAATGTAATAAAGTGTGAATAGTGCATCTAAAGTAATCTATTCAATATGTAAGTGCATGTGCGGATTTGAATGTACATGTAAGTGTAAGTTAAAATAATGATTGTGAATATGTTTTGGTGTAATAAATCAAAATAGAAAACGTACATTTAGAAAGGCTACGAAGAAGAGTACATGGGGATATGAAAACTAAAATTACATTTAACTCCACAAACTGTTATTATTATGGTTTTTTTATAAAAAAAGTCTTAGAATAATAACGCATAGAAACCTAGCCCGCACACGCTAAGTGAGGCAAATTGAAGCGCGCCCAAAGGGCCTACACGAGCGGGCGGGCCTTCGGTGCTCAAGGTCAACTTGCACCGCGAACAGATCAAGAATTTTAGCTAAAAATGACGAAATGTGCGGTAAATGAGTGTAAAAATACGTCAGACAAACATAAAATAGATACTAACATCACATTCCACAAGGAAGTAACGCGTTTCAACTTGTATTTTTATATAAATATTCACTAAAACCGAAAATTAACCTACTACTAAAACTAGCCTACATGAATTTGATTTTTGCCTCACTTGTGACAGTTCGTTTGATATGAAACTATCATTCTATGCGTTATTATTCTAAGAAAAAAGTTATAATATTTTTTTTTTTAAACAATAACTGGACCTAATTACGATTTGGGCAAATTAGGTGGAGACGTACCCTCGCAAGCGTGGTTCCATGTGTCGGTGAGGTCGCGCGTGCGCTGTTCGACGCGCTCGCCACTCGCTGCGTCCGCGCCGCTGCACAGCTCGCGCGCCCGCTCCCGGACAACGTCCAGGAGCGGCTGTTGGTTCTGCAAAAATAAAAAAACGCAATCATTAAACAAAATGCTCGTTTAAATTCGTAATGTTGGTAACATTGACTTACAAATAAATGAACGACGGGTCTATTACAAAAACCACGAAAAAAATGTCCCAAGTCAACCTATTTAAACGTAGTGACATGTAAAGGAATATGAAAAAGCTAAAACGTTGAATTTAAATTGTAATGTCATCGCAGTACTGTCTAATTTTGCTTGCTTCGCTGTCAGTCGAACAAACGAAGACTAAATCGTGAATGACGCTCTGTATACGATTTTAACGCCCTATAAGTTCGGACACTTTTTAGCGCGGACCCGACGTCCATATAATTGTAAGTCAATGGTTGATAATGAAATTAAAACAGTGTTGCAACAATTTGAAAAAACCATTATACTTTTTTTTTAGTTAAACAGAAGGAAATTTTCTGTCTTTATCAGACGCGTTTTCATTCCGTCATTTTGTAAGCAAAGCAATTTATAAATACCAAAACGAAATTCTCTAAGCTATTTACTAAATGTGCACATGACAACTAATATAGTATTATCTAAAAAAATGCATTATAGTATGTCATTCATATGAGATTTAATTTCAAAGCGATACTATACTCGTTTTTTCTAAATTCTAATAAAAACAAAATGTACTCCGATTAAATACGCAAGAAATACCTATTAGCAACAATAATTTCCTGTATTTTGTTTTATTTTTCCTTAATGGCGGCCACTATAACTTAGGCCAGTGTCAGTTTGGTAAAATTACCTATACTCCAAAAAAATTAGCTTGATCAGAATGTCAAGTCAAATTTTGTGAAGTGGAGAGTTAAAATTTATCTAATAAACCACGCCATATTGGAATAAATATTATAATATCATGGCAATAACTAGAGGTCACACTAACTGCCATTGTTTGTTAATTTCCAGCTTAATTTCCATAGATATAACCAATCGTACTCAAATAATACTGTACTGGTACACATTGAATAAAAATTTGCCACAAATACACAATTTAGCACAAAACGACAAGACTAATTAAAAGGAGTTCTAAGGTTTTCGCGATTGTCACACATAGGAAATGAAACTATTTTTCCGGATTTAAATCGCGTATATTTGTATTTTCAAACAAACCGACGTTTCGGGCCCTTTACAGGTCCCATCCGTGTCAACCGTAACCATGGGACCTGTAAAGGGCTCGAAACGTCGGTTTGTTTGAAAAAACAAATATACGCGATTTAAATCCCGAAAAATAGTTTCCATTCCTAATTGAAAGGAATTAAGTAATTTACGTAACATTTTAAATATTTTCGCCGTCTCTCATCAAAAGTTTTTTTATTAATCGGCCTAGTTGTGAAAATAAATATTGATTATTTATGTTCTTATTGAATTTGTTATATTGTGATTTATCAATGATGTGTGGATTATAATTCTTGTAATGTTAATATATAATCTCAGTACAGAGTACTAAAAAAACCGACCTCAAAAGTACGTGGAATTATATCTATTTGCCAAGTTTTTTTTTTAAATCGGTTACCGGAAAGTACGCAAACCCGGATTCATCCCCTAGTTCGCCACTATACAGAACTTGACACAGGATATAATAAAAACCGGTTCTCACTACTCAAAGTATAGTGAGAGAAAAACGCCTTGAATAAGAGAATAGCGACCTCAACTATTAAAATAATTGCTCTTTATAATAACATTTAGGCGCTATTTATAAAAATGAATCTTCATGCGTGAAAAGCCACTCTTAGAGGTTGATGGTTTTCTTCAAAATTAAATGGGAGCACTGTGAGGTACCCTTTTTCCAACAAAAAAGAATCATGAAAATCGGTGCACAAATACCGGAGTTATCGAGAAACATACATACAAAAAAAAACATACAGTCGAATTGAGAACCTCCTCCTTTTTTTTGAAGTCGGTTAATAAAATAATTAACGTATTTTCGTGTTAAAAATATACATAGTGTATGTTGCTACAAAATTACTTCGTCTGAATTTTGCCGACGTGTTTGTTATTCTAGCCAAGGTAAATTTTACGGAATACATTAACAGATTATAATGCTATGAAAACAGTGTTCTACGTTTGATTTTCTTCTTAGAGCCAGCTTAAGATAGAGGACATAAATTTAACAATGCATATTTTGATTCTATAATAATTTAAATAAGGTATAAATTTCAATGATCTGTGATGTGCAGAGAGAAATGCATCGCGCCGCCGTCAAAGACCATTAAAGCAAAGATATGGAAATACATGTCATGTAAAAAAGTTCTACAAAACATTCCCAGATTTTAGATGTAGATATTGTCCATTGTATGTCTAGATAATTATATTTTATTTCTTTCGATCTCTGGTAATTAATATTGTAATACAATAAACACTTACTTAATCGTGCTTTCATTTTTAAAAGATAGGACAAAATCAAATACTTGGTCTTACTACCTTAGCTCATTGTTATCACCGTCAAAGTCAAACAGTGTTCACTTCGTAGGTAAGCAAATTACACTTGAATTAATAGGTAAGCATTATTACACTTGAAATCGTCACAATGGTTAAACTCTACCGCTCATTCGTAAGGCAGATTCCCCTGAGAAGACTGAGCAAGAAACTCTAGGGGTTGCTCTTTATACGTAAACATTTGTACACATCGTACATGACATTGTTTCAATCTTTGATGTTTGAAATAAATATTATAAATGATATGTCGCACTTGACAACTAACCTAGTATTATCTATATAAATGGCTTTAAGTTATATTAATATTACCTATTTAGTTTCAAAGCGACAGTGTTGTCCTGTCACTTTGAAATTAAATCGTATGTGAATGACACATAAATAGAAATTTTGGAGATAAATTATTAATATAACACAATTTTGAGACAAAATATAATATAACACAATTTCTGAGATAATACTATGTTAGTTGTCAAGTGCGACATATCATTTACAATATTTATTTCAAACATCATAGATTGAAATAATCTGCAAGAGCTAAACTGGCATTATTGTATATTGTCATCCAATTACGCAGAATGTTGTTTGAACCTCGTGGAAGGCAAAATTTTAATTATGAACTGGAATCTTATTACAGAAGTGTGTAAATTGCTAAATGAATTAGTGACTTTGTGAACGAACACTATGATCAATATAAAACTTTTTATTACAAAGCACATTGTTCTTTTGCGTGCAGAGCACAGACCCGTTACATAAATCTTAATTAATTCTCATCAACGTTACGCGTCTCAAGTTTTTCTGCAACTTCCGGAATGTAATTTTGCAGTCTATTGAGAGCAAGTGCTATTTTTAGTACTTAGGAAAATATAAATGCTATTTCTATTGTTTCACTGTTACCAAGGTTTCAGATTCCATATTGGATTGCAACGTATGTTTACAATGTTATCAGAATCACAAATGGCGACTGATAAACGTGCGATATCGTGCAATAATCTTTAACAATATCGCGGGACCACTTTGTTCTACTTAACGTTTTATATGAAATAAATATTTCTTTTATAATAACATTCCTCTGTTGCACATTTAGTACGAAATTGTATGTTTTTAACCGAATTCAAAAAAGGGGGAACGTGATTACCCCGACATTTGTGAACTGAATTTGATGATTTTTTTTAATTGTTGAAACGGGTTTTTTTAATAATACCAAGTCACGAGACGGTAAGCGACACAACTGTACCTTGTCGTTTTATCACGCGGTCTATTTAACGAAAAGGTTGTTTCGATATCTAGTCGTTTTGCTATCACCTCATTGTAAGTTGGAGTCTTTCTGCAAAGGTGGTCATTTTGCGATCTAGTCCTTATGCTGATCAGGTAATTTTAAAAATATAGTCATTATGATACCGACCCACCTACCCATAACAGTTGCAGCGCCATGCATAGCTTTAAATCGCAAAGATGATGCCTATCACACTGAGACATAAGTTGACAAGTCCCATGTGCCTGTATTACTGTTCGCCGGTACTTTCCTGGACGAACTCTTTCACAAGGAGCTCTATTGCTACTAAAATGGGGTACCTGGGGGGTGATTCACGTAATCAAACCGTTACGATATCGTTGTAAACAACTCTTTTATGGGGAGTAAACAACTCTTTTATGGGGAACTGTATACGTTTTTACAATAAGATTCCGGAGCATATATTAAGTTTATCATTTCCTAAGTTTAAAACCTACATTAAAAGTATTCTAATTGAAAAGTCATATTACAAAAGTGTAGATTACGTGTTAGATAAAGATGTATGGAAAGACGACACGGCTCCAGAATCCACACAAATTTGATTCAAAGTGTACTCCATAGCATTTAAGTTTATTTGAAAAGAGCAATCCCTAGAGTTTCTTGCTCGTTCTTCTCAGGGAGGTCAGCGTAGTGAACGAGCAGTAGCTTAAATGTGACGATTTCAAGTGTAAATTTATTTTACCTATGGAATAAATAATCTTTGACTTTGACTTTGTAGCGATTTAGTCGTTAAACTGCTTTTTCGTATTCACGTGTGACAGTAAACGTGAACGAGTCGAATTTTAAAGTCGTCCGATCCAAATGTCGTTAAAGCTTATTCTGGTATATGAATTCAACTTAAATCTCTAAGCGACAAGTCATACGTATTCTCCTAAAATTTTAAAAGTTTTTTCTATCGACTTTCGACGACTAAATGCCAAATTTCATAATCCAAGATGTCGTTTATGAGTCGTTACGTTTCGATTCTACTCATATATTCGTTCAAGTGATACGTGATAACCCATTTTGAATAGGACGTCGATCGAACGACTACGTAACTTCAGTGATATTTTGATAGCTTGAACTTACGTGAATCGCACTACTGAGAGTGATCCCATTCAAATTTGATATTCCATCTTCAACAGTGGTAAATTAGAGGATGAGTACAGTTTAATAAAGTGAAAAGACACACTTTCCGTTAATCGATTTCAAACAAATTAATTCCAATAAAAGTAAAATGTTATGGTGACCTTAGTGGTGACCTGACTATGGCAAT